GGGGGGGGGGTGAGCTTCTAGTGAATATGTACATTAAATGAAGAATAGTCGCTCAGCTAATCAAAAATTAGTCAACTTTCACAGAACCCAAAAGTTAAATACTGTATTCACATGTACTAGCCAGATCTATCCAATCCACAACTTGTTTCTTTGTGATCCATTTTAATATTATCCTTCAGTGTACATTTAGGTCCTTCAAGTGATTTCTTTGCATACGCCACTGTCTTACAGGCGGAATGAAAATAAATTGATATAGTACGTAAACTTTGTAGCTTCGTGTGGAAATGCCAGCCGGTGGCCGCCCTCTGTATTCAACATTCATAAATGCGCCTCGTTTATTGGCAGACCGTAGTAAAACCCGGCACAGCGGGGCACCGGACTCTGCGGTTCATATTCGAGACAGTCGAACCGATATATCGATTATTTAACGAACGCCCACTGAATCAGAGGTAAAATAAATGTGTACTATGAAAGTTACATCGATACTTGTTTTGTTTTTTTCGACGATAGAGAGAGCGAGGGAGAGAGAGATTTAGACGCGAGCTGTAATAACAGAAAGGAGAACGGGGAAGCGCTTTATTTCCGAAATTGAATGCAACGAGAATGGAAGGTGATAGTGCAGTGGGTGACACTACATTTAACGGGGGAAATAGATACATTTTTGGTTATGAAGGTTCGCAGGAAATTCCCGTTCGTCCTGGTAAAGGTACGTAGAAGAGAAGTTGAACGGGGTCTTTGTTCATTCGATCGGATTTTTTTTTAATTTCGATGTTAATTTTGGTGAAATTTTGATGTTAGCACGAGGGGAGCTACTTTTGGACGGAATTTTCGTGGAAAAACTGGGAGGGCTGCATGAGAGGCGAACAGTGCAGATTACATTTAGGAATCCAGTCCGTACCGCAAAGAAAATACAGCCCTTCACCATTGCAAAGATCAACTGGTTTACCCTTTGAAGCCGAAGCTCGTCTAAATATTATATTTAAGAATTCGGCCCGTACCGCGAAGAAAACACAACTCTTCACCATTACAAAGATCAACTGGTTAACGCTGTTTAAGGAAATAATTGCTGTTTACAGTGAGAATCTTACGAAACTCGTAAATACAAAATGCAGATTTGCTGATTGTAGGTGGTACATATACTTACCACTGGGGTTTAAAGGATTAAAACTGGAACCTAGGTGTCCACTTGTTCGCGACGGACGCTGAACCGGGTAATATCACTGGATTTCTTCGTCCGTGCCATTAGCCTACTTTAAGATGGAAATCTCAATGGCTCTGCTTAAGTGACGCTGCCCCTCAGTTTCGTTTGGAGTATGAATAATTCAACAGACCACACTTTGCTCGCTGTGTAAAGGGACCATAATGTTTGTGGTCCGTATCGATTTGGAATGTGTGCTCCTAGTGCAAAACGGATGAGTCTTCATTGGAGCTTAGTTAGTTAGTTAGTTAGTTAGTTTGTTTGTTTGTTCCCAGTCATTGAACAGCGCTTTTAATAGGGCGAGTTTTGGGTGAGATGTGAAATAATTAATTGGAAAGAATGTGGAAGTAAGGGTTTGTGGCCTGTCATTTTCATGAGATGACTGAGGAAAACTACGAACGAGATTTGAAACCGGACCTCACCCTCCCCACGAACAGAAAACAGGAGTGCCAACCTCTCTGTCATTCAGAAGCTTAAACACTAAAATTCGGATACTGTGTTCGAGGGGAAATTCAAATGATGTTAAAATATGAGAATTTTGTGAACTTTCTTGGCTTTAAATAGGAATTTCTTGCGTTCTCTTGTGAGCATGATAACGAACCAGCGGGTTGAAATGAGTCGGGGAATTTTTGAGCGTTGCAGTGACCGTTGTCGTGACAAATTTCCGCGTGTAATGAGACCGGAAACGAATTGAAGGTGTCTTGAACAGAGAATAATTCTAATTATGTCAGATGTGTAACGTAAATCTATAAATTGTAATCACTAGAACTCTTTAAGAACGAAGAAACAGCTCTTTAAAAGGAAGCTATTTTTAAAGCATTCGTTAAAAATGACTATTCCGAAGTTTAAAAAACTTACCTTGAACACTTAAGAGATCAAATGGCTTCGGAAGTGAAAGGCACTGCTCCAACAATTATTGGTTTCATGTAAAGTACCTGACGATTGGATTTTCCTGGTGCAGGACACGGACCGGTGGAGGGCTTTGGTTAATTCGATGATGAACCTTCGGATTCCCTAAGCCATATAGTTAGTTATGTAAACTCCCTGAAACCATGTGACATCTGAGTCCACCCAGCGTCTTTATTCGCCTTCGTCACCCTTGTCTTTCCTCCGTACGTGATTCTCGGAACTTATCTTTTACCGTTCTGTCCTCCACGTCGTCAGTGTCATCACCGTCTCCACCTTGGCCTCTGACGTAGTAAGGATCTGAAATTCTGTCCACTCGTGGGTACGACTTTGCGATTTAATTTGTGTCGATCAATAAGGGCCATGATGAGCTGGGGATGCTTCTTTCACTTGGCATGCTTCTTTCCGTCTGATTAAGTTACGAAGAGCAGTTTCTTTGCCTCATGAAGTCCGATCTCTCTTGTGTACGCGTTTTCAAAGCTTGTCCCGGCCAGGTCTTCAGACATTTCTTCACTAATTTTATCTGTTACTGCCGTAATAAATGTTGTTATAATCTCAAAATATAATTTTCCGTG